TATTCATGGTCATGAAAGGATTGATTATCTTAGTACATCCTTAGGCTCAGTAGAATTAGAAGGAGCATTAATATGAAGCTATGCAGAGCTTGTTATTCATATAAAGGATAACCAATTGGTGAGGGGTAACACTTGAGCTTGAGTCCACTGCAGTCTGTAACTTAGTACAATATTTATTAGAATGTCAACTTTTATATTCAACAAAGAGGAAGAATATTATCAAGGGTACCAAGGGTATAACCCTCAGGGGTACCATACCCCTCATGGAGGGTATGTACCCCTTGTGGGTAGGGGTGTGGGTAGGACCTCCAATACATGGGTTTACCCCCGTCCATCCCTACACCCATGCCACTCAAATCGCTTGGTGCAAAGAATGTCGACACTGCGGAATTGAACACCCAGATCCTTCCTTCATAACAAGGGCAGTCCATGATGTTTTCAAAGATCTCCGCAAGGTGCGTTTCTGGATACAGTTGCTCAACAAGGAAATCTCGAACAAGGTCAGGTAAGTGTGGGATGGCGAGTTCATCGGCTAGTGCAGGAATGGTCTGGGTGTGCTTTTCCCCTTCTGTACATAGTGTATTGAGACTTGGAACACACAAATGAAATTTAAAAAAACTTATGAGATGTTCGGGCTAGTTGAACATGTACGAGTACTGAAGTTGGTGCGTCAATATCTTTGGAGTCAGCGATAACATCAATGTCAAGTATGCTGACAGTTTGGTGCACAATGGGTGACTCCTGTTGGTTTAGATTATACTCTTCTGCACTGGTAAGCTCAGCCTGTGCAGGTACATCTGCTGACAGTTCTAGCAAAATCATGATTAAATAGCAGAAAAAAAGGTAGAAATGAACGTGTACCGAGTGCTGCGAGAACAGATGTTAGACAGGTACCTGAGAGCATTCTGCGAGTGCAGAAATCTACCTGTGACGCCGCCAGCTTATCCAGACACTGGTTAGTCAGAAGCATCTGACCTAGCGTATTATATCGACTGGACCGCCTCCAAGGTTCCTTCACTGCCTTAATGTGCTTTGACTCCATGATCGAAGAGCACAAGCCGTTTGGAGCACTGAAGAGTCGAATACAATGCACATAGTGAGTCATTGAGTGTTGTCGTGGAAGTGAACATGTCGTAATCATTCCAGTAGTCTTGAAAATTTTGCGATACTGGTGAAAACAAGCAAGTGCAGCTTGGATCTCCTCGAGGGACTTCTCTGTAGGTATGTTGCAGTGGACGAGATAACAAAACTCAAGAAAGGCACTGAATGCACACACAACATCTTCAGGGACATAACCCTCAATTGCTGGCAGGTACACCTTGATACACTTAGCATTACATTATTTTGAGAAGAATTAAATATAAAATACCCTCATGAGGGCCTTTGAATCATCGCCAGTCCATTGTTTGAAGTGGCGTCCTTGCGGAAACCGACACAGGCTGGGAAAAGGAGGAACCACTGCGATCCTATGAAAAGCCAAGAGTAAATGAAGATTGCAGTTGATTAAATGTACTGTCGGTCAATATCATCTAGAATGATGTTAGCCTGTGTCTTTCCGTGCTCCTGCAAGAGGTATCTCTTGACCCATTCAACTAAATGATCCTTAAATGACCCCTTTATAATTTGATGGAGAAGGTCAGGTGCGAGTAACTCATGGATGTTGGCACGGGGGAAATCATTTGTAAATGGCTGCATATGTGTCCATTAGAAGTACAATTGAAACAAAAAAAAGGATATACCACGAGGATGGCAACTAAACCATACTCTGCCCACAAGGTATCAAAGTCGCACTCCTCGATGAGCGCATTCACATGAAGTCTTGAGCATAGGAGCGTGGTCTCATCAAGGGCCTTGCAATGCGAAAGACACCTATCTTGGTATCAGAACAAATACAATAGATGATTGAGGAAATCTACTCACTTAGCACACCACCTTTGAACTATGCATGCAAGTAATACTTGCTCTTCATAGTCTGCAATATAAGGCCCGAGTCCATAGATGATGTGGTGATAGTGCCCATCCCCAAAACGCGCAACCTCAGGTGTTGTCATGCCAGGCTTCAGGCTCTTGAGGATATACAAGAGCAATGAGTGAGATAGCTGGCAGTGAAACTTTCAGAAACCCTTTGTCTCGGCATGCTGTTTGGTTGCTTTGCAAGATGTAAGGACAATAAGATACAAAATCGACAAACACGTACTTTTGGGCATTGCGAGAAACCCTACAACAGCAACAGCATTTCAGTGGGCACGGCGTACATTGTTCTGAATGTTTCCAATAGATGCGTAGAGAGGATAGTAGTCATTTTGTCCTGTTGCGACCGAAACAGTCGTTTTATCACTTCCAAGAATCACGGGCACGAACATTGAACCATGCGTGTCAGGATCCTCAGAAATCACATCCTGTAGATGCATGTCAAACCCACAAACAATAAAATAAAAAAAGACATATAAAATCTTGCCACTGACACTCATCATTCTCCATCACACACCAGCATCACCAAAGTCCATAGCACCAGTATCACCCAAATTGGTAGTATCAGGCAGCCCAGAACCTGGCAAATGAGGCCTGCGTGGCTGAGCCGATCCAGGTTGGTGTAGGAACATGGGGTGCTTCACATTCATATGCTGCGTGTGCCCCAACCAATTCTTAAACCAACAGTTGCACCCTGGCTTCGTGCAAGGTATACAAAGACCAATGGGCTCATGGTGCAGGTGGCTCACTTGTGGGCCAGTCTGGGACATGATGCGCGGGAGGGAGCTTGTTGGTAGGATAGCCAGTACCAGTTCCTGGTGCTTGAGTTAATGGTATTTGGAGTCAGGATAGCTAATACCAGCTCCAGCACTTGAGTTAATGGTATTGGAGTCAGAGTAGGAGCTCTTGCGCTTGAGTTAATGGTATTTGGAGTTGTCGAGTTAATGGTATTTGGAGTCAGGGTAAGATGGCCAATACCAGCTCTGGCGGTTGAGTTAATGGTATTTGGAGTTGGGGGAGGGAGCTTGTTGGTAGAATTGCTGGTACCAGCTTGGGATGTCTATAGAAATCTGCAGTTAGATGAGAGCTTGTTGTTAGGATGGCCAGTAGTACCAGTTCTGGTAGTTGCACTCTGTTGTTGTAGTGCTGAAGCGTAGGCAGACTTGGAAAGTGGCATGAAGTATTGAGTACTGGGTTATGAAGGGTTGTTTGTTTGCGTTTAGTACTACTACTTGGAATTTTTGCAGTTCAACTCTTACATTTTATTGAGGCCTACCCATTGCCAGCTCCCTTCTGCCACTTCCTGCTTTTCATATCGGCTATGGCACCTCCCACTTCTCCTCGCCATACACGCCCTAAAAATGCAACTCAGCACCCTGGACTTGTCCTTCTCAAAGGTCAAAAGAAACGATGTACCAAAGCCCAGATCACACAGGACAAGGAGCGTGCCCTGGAAGCATAGGCTATCAAGGAAGCTGCCATGCAGCGTGGAGTTAATTGGCTTGCAGGCATTGAGGCTTCCATGGAGGTGCAGCAGGCAACTGAGACAGCCAACAGGGCAAAACCAGTAAAACCCCAGGCTAGACCAGTGAAGAAGAAGGAGAGTATGAAGGAGAGCATGCAAGGGGCAACTAGTGAGCTCACCTCAAAGAATCATCCAGTGCAAGCCGTAGTTCAAGATGCAGGTGGTCACCACACAGCTAATAGCACGGGTGTAGGTGCAGGCAATGGCAAGGCAATTGGAAATGAGGAGTTTGAGAATCAGGGCAGAAAGACGAAGAGGAAAAAGAAGGCCAACCCTACCATATCATGTGAAGCGGTAAGCACTGCAACAAGGCAGATCCATCAAGTTTGAGCACCTGACAGCAACAAGAAAGGAAATGTTAACCTGTCAGTAATTTGTCTTCTTACCATCATGCTATTGGTGCTCACAGAGTCTACGCTTCGCTTTATGAACCTTACTTGGGGGCTCAGAAATAAGAAATATGGCCTTTTGGGCAAGGTTCATAACTGGTGCGCTCACCTCAAACCTGAGTTGAAGGGAGCTGTGAATCCTTCCCCTGTTCCCAGTATTCCCACTGCAACTGTTTCCACCATTTCTCTGGGCATTTCATCAGCAAGAACAGGCCAAACAGTTGCGACCACAGTCTCACTTGCAAAAGATCCACCTCCTTCCTTGACTGACTCATCCAGGACTTCAGACATTCCTGCATCAGACGAAGATGGAGACGTCAACGTTGACATTGACATTGACGTTGATGCTGACAACAATGAAGACAATGAAGAATTCAAAGAGCATTTGTCGTCTCTCATTGCTAATGAAAAAGGAAGGGAGGGGGTGCAGGTGAGCATTCAACAACATCAACAAATTAAGGTCTGACATCGTTTGATGCATTTTTAGAGTGTTGTAGGGATCACTAATGAGATCATGGAATTTTCAGATGATGACGCCTCTGAAAGACTGCTGGTTGTCAATGCCATTTAATTTATTGCCATTCACTCAACAAGCTGAAATAGTGCGATTCGCTATAGAACAGGTTCAATCAACTCACACCATTAGTTCCACGAAGAGGCCAATTGAAGCAGTTGACTTGATAGACCCTGCTGATGACTCCATGATACTTGACACTTCTGATCTCATGACTCCCGAGGTCGAGCCCATTCCTACTGAGCTAGCACGGATCACTTCGAAGGTAGGCTTTTTTCTTCATATCTAATTCTATTTATACTGAGATGCTCGACAGACTAGCATAACAGTCTGCGAGAACCTAAACCCACCCAAGAAGGCCAAGTTAGAACCAGCATCCCAGATCACAAGCATTCTGGCATCACCTGAGCCCGATTTGATGTTTGCCGACATGTTGATGAAGCCAAAAAGTGGAAACCAATGGTGAAACACCGATCTTCCCCAAATTATGTTGGAGGACGGCATGTGGCAAAGGTCTTTTATCCCTACTGTTTTTCTGTGGGCAGGTGCCCAGCCTAATTTTTGGTCCATCGAGGCCGACAAACTACTTCCAGTGCTCCAGGCTATTTTTGACATTGCTTATCCAGGAATGAATCATAATGTCCAACCAAAAGGCCCTATCATTGGTTTGGTAAGTCTTCTATTCCTACCATCAAACTGCTATTTCTGACTACAAGTCATCTCTAATGAAAGGTGAATCAGCGCATTTGCTCCTGGCGCAGTAATTTTGGATCAACAGCCATGGCCCTCATCGCAAACTTTCTAGCTACTTCTAAAGATGACGAGAACAAAGACGAAGATGAAGACAATGATATCAACTTTGAACAAACACTGGCAGCAAATCTTCTCGACGAGTGGGCCTTCCTCTACAACAATCCAGATGTTCGTGACCCAGACCAGATTTACCGGTCTGAATTTATGTTGAAAATGATTGAAAGCACACATATGTGTTACAGTCAAGTACGCCCCTATTCATTTTCTTTCTCTTACATCATTGTATTACATCACGAGCGCATCTTGCCGTCGCTAGATGATCTATTCTTGTTATCTCTGACTCGTCTTATCTGATCGTCTTATCTCTGACTCGTCTTATCTCTGACTCGTCTTATCTCTGACTCATCCCTATGACCTCATCGTACCGGCCCTAAAGCCGTTATCATTCACTATATAAACTCGTCCTGTACTATGTAGTTCTTTACTTTAATCTTACTAGGTTTTACCTGGAACTTCCTTCGCTTAAGACCTCCAATCTTAAGTCGTATTGAACGTGATTCAAGTCGAGGACACTCTCCTTGTCTTGTCTTAGAAAACCCCTGAACTTCGGTATACGCCAAAGCCTTGAACCGACCTTGGCCGATTACTCTTATTGAGTAGCCATACGTCAAAACCATCCTAGTTCGTAACAAAAGATTAAAGTCTTCCACGAACACATCACTATCACGCGCTGTAACCCAGACAGAACAAACCCTGGTCATCACGACAGATAGAACTCCAGGTCCCCAGAAGCTGAAACAAGCTGACATCATTAACACCAATTTTTGGCGCTTTGAACTTAGGTGCTGTACCACCCATACCACCTTTGAATCCCCCAATGTCTTCCACGAAACCTGTCGAAATCAAGATCGGATCTCCCCCAGTCTTTGATGGGGATAGAGATAAATCCGAAGGATTCCTGATGTCATGCATGTCTTACCTCGATATTAACGAGAAGATCTATGTCGACGACAAACAGAAAATTATTTTCGTAACCTCCTTCATGAACGAAGGGAACGCGCGCTACTGGAAGGAAGATTTCCTCAGACAAGCGCAGGACCCCAACAACAAGACTACCGTAGGCCTTGTCAAAGGATATGGTACATGGATTGAATTCCTCACCGACTTCAAAAGCGCGTTTAGGCTGCTTGACCCCGCAGGAACCGCGTTAGCCAAGCTTCGCAACTTGAAACAAGGAACCGAACTCCAAGATTACATCTCGGAGTTCCTGATGCTCACACGAAGGGCGGGAATTCAAGGTGATGTCGCTAAGAAGCAATTCTTCTTAGATGGATTACACCCAGGACTGCTCGCTCGCCTCTATGGCACGGGAGACGTTTCCGACGACTTTGAAGTCGTCCTTACCACCTGCATCAATCTCGACAACTCACGCCTTCACTTGAACACCATCAGGGCGCGCCACCAACCCCAGAAGAAGAAGAACTTCAGATCTAACCGATACGTACCATCTAAAGACCCCAACACCATGGTAATCGATTGGCTTTCTGAAGAAGAACGCGTGGAACATTTCCGAACCGGAAAATGTTTCACCTGCCACAAGACTGGACATCTTTTTAAGAATTGTCCTGAAAAGAAGAAAGGAAAGACCCCGATACGCCGCAAAGAAGTAGAAAGCAGCGATGAAGAAGAAGAAGAAGCAGAAGTCCATTGTCTCAACGAGGATTTTTGATATGGGAGACTGGATCAACGTCAGTATCTCTCGACGTACCCATTAGACTTGTACGAAAAGTTGGTGAATGAAAGGAACTTCGGGTTCCCATTTCCCTCATTTCGAAAACACGTCTGAAAACCGTTGAAACCACCGCAGTTGTCGATTCCGGAGCAGCCAGAACCTTTATCTCAGAAGACTTCGTCAAGAAGCACAAGATCCGAACCCCACGCCCTTAGTAAACCTTTCAGGGTTACTACCACCGATGGAAGTTATTCCAAAAGTGGAGCCATATACCGATACTGCGTCCTCACCATCAAAATCGATGAATGAACTATGATTGGAAAGTTCAACGTCACATGCCTCGGTAGAAGGGATCAAATTCTCCTGGGAATTCCCTGGCTACGGGCTATGAACCCAGCCATTGATTGGACTGCCGAAACCCTTATTCTTTCCCAAACAGAGAAGAGTAACCAAGTTGAAGAAGAAGTTGATAAAGAAAGGAAGAAGAACGATCTTCCACTTCTATTTCAACAAGAAACCCGTCGATCGGACTTGGAAGCAATCCAAACTTAGGAAGGTACCCATTATCGAAACCCCTGTCGTTTATCCAAAAGCGACTATCGAAGAAATCATTGACGAAGAAGCACCACCCATCATTTCTACCCTTGACCCGCTCCCCGATCTACTCCCCATCCCTGATGAAGACGACGAAACCTTTGACACCAAGGAAGACGTTTGGACACAAGAAAACTTTGCCGCACCAGTGTGAGAAGTCTCTATGTACGATTTAGATGATGACGAGTTCCTGGTAGAATATTCCCCTTGACGCATCTGAACTCCAGGTAATTTCAAACACTACCATGGATATGCCATTGACCCCAGATGGAACCAGTCACTCTGAACAGAAACCCACGGTTAAACCCCTGCCACGGCCCACGGAATACGCGAAAGTTAGTAACAAAGCTCAGCAGTTCGCTCTAGCTGCGGGCTTAGAACAAAAGAAGAAAACTTTCGAAGAACTCGTACCCTCCTATCTGCACGACTTCGCGCGATATCTTCGCTAAGGACGGTCTCAACAACTGCCCCCTGAACGACCCGGTGGTATTGACCACCGTATTGAAACGAAACCCGGATTCATCCCCAAAACGTCGAAAATCTACCCTCTCTATTGCTGAACGGGCTGCTGTCAAAGCATTCATTGATGAAAACGTGAAGAAAGGCTTTATCTCGGAATCTAAATTGCCGCAAGCCAGCAGTTTCTTCTTTGTAGGAAAGAAAAGCGGAGATCTCCGACCCTGTCAAGATTATCGGTATATCAACGATTGGACGATCAAGAATGCTTATCCCTTGCCGCTTCCATTATCCCTTGTCGCACACGGTTACACAGAGCAAAGTATTTCACCAAGATGGACATTTGGTCCAGTTATAACAACATCCGCATTCACCCTGATGATAGATGGAAGGCTGCATTCACTACGGAATTCGGACTCTATGAGCCCGAACGTCATGTTTTTTGGACTTTGCAAACTCTCCGGCTACCTTCCAAAGCCTACATGAACCGCACGTTCAACAAGAAATTAATGAAGGATGGCTGGTGATCTATATGGACGATATCCTTATCTTTTCGGACAACCTTGATGAACATCACGCTCGCACCCGTCGCATTCTTATGAAAATACGTGAAGAACGACTCTTCTTGAAACCGGAGAAATGTACCTTCGACACGCAAGAAGTCGAATACCTCGGTATGATTATTTGCCCAGGATGCGTAGCTATGGACGCTGCTAAAACCGACGGAATCCGCGATTGGCCTACCCCATCCACTGTTAAAGAAACCAGATCATTCCTTGGATTCTGTAACTTCTATCGAAACTTCATCCCTCATTATTCCGATATCGCGCGACCCCCTTATCGATCTGACAAAGAAGATAACGTCTTCCTTTGGGTCCACACCATGTCAAGAAGCATTTACGACACTCAAGGAGTGTTTCCTGAAACAACCTGTTTCTCCGTAACCTGATCCATCACGGCAATTTGCAGTTGCTACCGACGCATCCCTTGTTGCAACCGGTGCTGTTCTTTTTACAGACCGACGAGAATGGCATATATCATCCATGCGGATACCTCTCCCAATCCTTGAACCCGGCAGAACGTAACTATCAGATCTTCGATCGGGAACTCCTTGCCGTTATTCGCGCACTCCAAGAATGGCGCCATTATTTGGAAGGAAACCCTCATCCGGTTATTGTTTTCACTGATCATAAGAATCTCCTCTATTTACGCACCGCGCAAAAGTTAACCCATCGCCAGGCTAGATGGCAACTCCTTCTTTCATGTTACGATATTGAACTCCACCACGTACCAGGAACCAAGCTTGCGCACCTGATGCCTTATCTCGATGTCCTGATCATGCACCGGACACCATCGATAACGAAGATATGACGCTCCTCCCTGATTCCATGTTCATTCGCCTCCTCGACCAAGAACTCATGACCACTCTTGCGAATCCTGATCCTGATGACACCGATCCCATCTTCCAAGCCGCCTCTGATGCCTTGAATGGTCTTTGTCTTCCTCCTAAGAAATTGGCTCTCTCCGACTGGACGATTAAGGATGATGTCTTGTTCTACAAAGACCATGCCTACGTCCGGCCGGCCGGACACCATTCTATTTTAGAACGAACCCATGACCATGCCACAGCAGACATCCCAGTCGCTTTAAAAACCGAAGAACTGGTTAAACGCGATTTCTGGTGCCGTCGATGGAACCTACATCCAAAATATGTT